GTTTTCTGCTTATTCACGTAATTATTTGACAAGGAACTCGACTAGTTTCAAGCCATGCTAGAGGCTCATATTCATGGGCAGCATTTTGCGATCTGCGACGAGCAGCGCGACAGTCTCCGCGTAAGCCGAAAACATAATAATTTATTTAGTATGTCTCACGAATCTTATAATACAAAATGTGGAGCTGTTTACAGAATCTACTAACCGATTAAAAAGTAGCTGGTAGATGGAAGGCGATTCATGTAAATAATTATCTTTTTTTTGGTATAAAGGGGTATAGAGCGGGCGGATTATTTGATAGTACACTGTCCATGATCTTGAACATCCGATGCTCGAAGGAGGGGATTACGCCTCCGGTACTGATTTACACAGAAAAATACAACGCAATCATTGTTACACGCCCGTGTTCCATGGTGTTGCTCCGGTCGAGTCGGCCGGCGGCCCATTGATCTTCAGGCCACAGTCCATGCTCCTACATGAACGTATTACTAAGTTAATAATATTCAGCCGAATATGCTTAAGAATCAGTACCAACCACAATGTACTAATATGTGCAACTATACCTAACAAAATAATTTAAACATTGAAGAAACGACATATTCTAGGTTTAGATTATAATGGATGGGCAGCGAAGTGATTGCATAAAGTAATACCACTCACAGTAGGTAATAAGTCTATTGTAATATACAAGTTAAAGTTTAACACTTTAAAGGTCAGAAACAGATGTTTGGTATTAAGTTACTTAGTTAAACAATGAGTGTTAAACAACAAAGATAAGACTACATTGTGTCGCCTTAATCCTCTTTTGCGTACCTGTTAATGAAGCTCCATTCCTTTCGGCTTCTTAAAATATTGTATTTCTTTTACTGAAGATAATTTTTAATTTTGTAATATTTATTGATAAAATGTAAGTAATTAAAGAACTCAGACTCCCGAATAGGACCGAATTAATTTCATTCGGTCTAATTACTTTTGGAATAAATACAAATAAAAGAATAATCAAAGCTTACGTGTTTGTATTAACATCACCATGGGTGACTTCCGTATCTGGGTATAATTATCAACAATTTTTTCAGGACAATAATCATATACCTCCTTGATACCTAAACTGAATTTAGGTACAATATAATCAATAGGTAAGTACTTACAATGTAATCAATACAGACAGCTACTTTTGTTGTTATTAAAGTTCCAATGAAGGCAAATTTTGAATAAAATGGTATATTTCACAAGTAGGCGCCATTGTTCTTCTTAGCTCCAAAACGCACATCTGTAAAATAAATTACCATTATTCATAAAATTTTGTAACCTTTGTCTTGGAGGACCTTAATGTTAGTGTCCTTTTTATAGATGCGCATCCACTCGTTAGTTATATCTAATATCGTAGGTGCGTTTAAAACATATGACACATACACATATTATAATAGGCACCTTCAGATCCAGAAAAACAATTTGTGTATCATAGAAAGAATTGTAAGGTGAGGGAAACGAACCAAGTAGCACATTGCGCAGGAAACAGTTACCCAACTATGATAATCACGGGCCTGCGGACGGCGAGCACGGGTGACTCGCCGCCCGACCAGAACCAAGCCCGAGCGTACGGCGTGTTGCGTTCCACGCGAGCTTCAAGGAGCCATTAGACCACAGATGAGGCCCAACAGGGTTGATGCCGATACGTTGGGTTGCCGGAGCTCTGGCTTAAAGTGCAGGAGTAGGAACGGAGTGGTTTTTAGTCAGTGTAGTCTGACACTCCCTTTCGCCTCATCTGGGCAGGAGAAGCCATATCACGATTTTCTCTCTAAAAAAAAATTATTATGATAACCGCACAGCTAATTTCATTTTCGGTTTGGAATCTTGTTACATATTTAATTTTGTTTAACAAGTATAAAATTACCATGGTACTTAGTTATTGGATGCCCGATCGATGTAATAGTTTCGATTCTGGTTTTTTTTTTATCTTTATTTAATTACAGGGTTTTTTCTTCTGTTTCTGCTCGCACAAACAAAATTATTATTGAGTACGAGTTCGATGATAACATAGGATTTGTAATATTGATTCATATTTGGCTCATAATTATAAAGAATTCATTCATTATGAATTGTTTGTTCATCGTTTGCAATTTTTTATCCAAAATAATTTAGGATATGACACAAAAATTTGTAAAAAAAGAATTCCGTCGGATATATGACACTTATATTTCATGTCTATTTTTCTTCTTCGGGGATAAAAGGTGTGCTGTTATGTTATGATATGTCATTTCTATTTTTAACTGTATTGATATACTTCAAATCCCCATATCTCATAAGTACATTTTTCCAAAATTATCTATTTCCTAATTTAAACAAAAAATGTGGATTGATTAATTCCGAGTTGTACTTAGTTCTGTTTATTGTTGTAGCATATGTAGGAAGCATAATCTTAAGAAGTGAACATACGTAGGTACTGTATACCTTAAAGTGCACGTAGATTTCAACACGTCTACACGCAACACTTTTTTCGAATAGAGTACCAAAGTACTCTTTTACTGTTTTTGCTTATAATATCATTCAAAAATCTTTCTTTTTTCAAGTTTCAAGTTCCAACATGTGGCCAGATACGCCAATTCGGTTTGTAAGTGACTATTTAAACAAAAACCTTTTTGTAATGAATAAGGAAGGAAACAATCGGTGCGCACACGTGCAAGTCATAAACTGGTAACAGTGGCGTCCTCTACCTGTTAGTGGAACTCTATCTATTGTCTACTTTCAAATCTTTCAATGCGCTAAGTACTGCAAACTGCAACATGTGCAAGAGATTTGTCGGCGACCCGTCTAATGTTTAAGATGTTCTACAGAAATTAGCTTTGCTAACCGTTTGTTAGTCACGTAAGTACTTACTTACTTATTCAAAAGCCGATTGTAGATTGAAGTCTTTTAAAGAAGATTCTGTTGTAGAACTGAATATCAGTACTTAAATGATTATAAAACTAAGTTTTAGGTACTTACAAGAGTTCAAAGCTAACTTAATCCATACTGTCACATTCAAATTTATTTCAAGGAAAAGCTTAGATATGAGATTTTATATGACTATCATAAAAGGAGAATGTTAAAACCCTACAAAAATTAAAAAAATATGAACTACTATTGTAAAAAGTTACAATTGAATAAAGAGGTATTTCAATTGAGTAAACGAAATCCCTAAATACACTATGAACTACGTGTCGGTAACAAAAAATCATTTCAAATATTTTGCTAACATCAGCTTACATGGGCTTATTAAAACACTCTAAATGAAAATCGTTATCCGGGCATTTGGAGCTGCGTCCATAACGAACCCGGCCTCAACAATGGGCTTAATGCTCGCACTCATTACAAAAAGCGACATAACATAACGCGCTACGTCGAAAGCTCCTCTATTCAAAGTGTATACTCCAGTTTTTTTTTGTTGGGAAGGCTTCGGCCGCTGTGCGATTGGCTGACGGGAATCCCGCCCAGTCGGCGGCGCGTCGCTATTGGCGGAGGTCAGTGGAGCACCCTCGAGGCTAGTCCGGAGCTGAGTAGGCTGTCGAGGCACGAGGGCGGCGCGGGGTGTTCTTCACCCCGAGCACCACTCGAGGGTTGTTTAGTGCGGACGCGGCGTCGCAAGGCGCAGCACGTGTTCTCGCGAGTGTAGCTACAGCCGTCAACATTATCCCGAAAGCGAGTTCTCCCGGTCGGGAGATGAAGTGCGAGGAGGGCGAGAGTGCGCGGTCACCGCCGCCGCTGCTGCCGCCGGCCTCCCTGCTGGCCTGGAGCCCCATCCTGCTGCCACCCTGGGGCCCTGCCTTTTTACCAGCACTTTACCCAGCGGCCTTCCGATCCGCGTTTCCCGGGTGAGATACGGATACGTGATTTTAATTAGTGAATCAAAGTGATCCAGTGATTATTCGCATTTTAATCAGTTTATATTCGAAAAGATATTTAATTACATCAGGATATTTCACGGTATCTTGCTTAGTGAAGGTTTTTGTTCAATTTATTTTTAAGTACTTGTTAAGTAGTTAAAAGTATACCTTAAAAGTTAGGCTAATTATGAACATTAACAAAGCCCACTTACCGTCGGCTCGAAGCTCGAACATTACATTTCCGTGCCACTTGCCTCGCACCATATTATTATAATCCTCGTTTCGAAGTATCGTGACCGTGACATTCCATGTGATAGTTTTTGCACCTCTCTTAGTGAGAGGTTGTTAATAGTGTTGTTTACAACCTGCAGGCTGTTATGTGAGCCGCCATTGATCGCGTCACGTCCGGGGCTCGGTCCGCGGGAACCTCACGCTACATGTAACACTGATTGACACAGCATTTGGTACTCTCGTGCAATGTAAAGAAACCTTCTATTATTCAGGTCACGTATTCTCGAGAGGTGCTCTCCGACAATAATAGATGGATTGATGGAATTTCAAATGTTTTCTTTCAATTACACACCATCAAGACTTGTCGCTTCTTAAGTTGACGTGAGTTTTCGAGTTAAACATTAGTTGTTAGGATTGTGTGCTCGACAACTTTGTGATTTGGTTCAATGGACGGTTTTTTTGAAGTTACATGGGTTGTAGCTTTTAGTAGGTGTGCGAATACTATTTTAGAATTGTAGGCGGTTTACTTAAATATTTTAGGACTCATTTCTGTTCTTAGAACGATTTCAGGAATTTCAGTGTTTCTCTAAAATTGGAATTTCTGCCTATCGTATTCAATTTATAATAGTGTCTTTCAATACATAGGTATTTGTGATCTTTGGCTCGACGTTTTAGATAAAAAGTTCAAAGTTTATAAAGTTCAAGCAGTGCGCGTTTAAATCTTTTCTTCGTACAAGTTTAATTAATTAGATATACGTATTTACGTCGTTTATTAAGTAAACTAGGCCCATTTTATATTAATATAATAAAACTATTTTCCATACTATATTTAAAAAAAATGTAGGTAATATAGTTATATTTCATTAAGTATTCATGAAAATTAATGAAAATATTTCTTTGTCGTAGGTTGCTGGATAGTATGAAAATGCCGGGACAGCGGCCAGGGTTCCAGATCTCGGACATATTAGGGTTGAACGAGGGTAAAGGGTTGGAGCCAGCACCGGCGCCGGGTACCCTCGGCGGGTGCTCCTTGGAACTGCCACCATACGCGCCTCCACATCACCCCTACTCACATGAACTGTTGAGGCACCACCAACCCTGGCTGTCTCTGGACCATCACGATGGACACAATAGCTGTAAGTAAATTTATTGTGATAAGTTTATGCCGTCGGTAATTGTAGTCCTTTTATTATTTACTGTGGGACTTGTATTCTATTGTTGAAAGTAAAATTTCTAGGTCCATAGTGCGCGTATGTTAAGTATTTTTGCAAAAGTTTTTGTATACTGCATAGCAATTTATTATCAGTATTGACAAAGGTTTTATGTATAACTATATTTTTTTTTAACTTATCGTGGACGTTGGTACAGTATTCCGTCGGGATAGATTAATAGGGATTTCTTTAACCTTTCGTGTGTCTAAACGCGATCCACCAGAGACATGTATTTTATTATTGTGTCTCATATCGTGCATTCAATTCAATAATCAGGAATTATTTGAGATAATATTGCCTGATGCTTAAATGATATGTATTTTCGTTTCGTCTTCCCTTATCTTACAGTTAAAAGTAAACTTACCACAAGGACTTACTTTAAATACTTAATACTTCACTGAAATTGAACACAAGTATCGAAATCGTCGTGTAAAGTTTACTGCAAACATTATCTAGTGTTGATCTAACTTTTATATTTGAAGGGTTTGTGGGTAACGATGCTTCATTCAAGTTATTAGCTTTCGATGCAAAGTGGCCCAATAAATACTATTCTAGTATTCTTTATTGAGTGCTCCTACTGGCTATGGAGTGCTGAAACCATATTATTTACTACTAACTCTTGTTTGTTGAGTGTCAAGTTACGTTTGTTTATTATGGACATACACGTTTTATCATTCATACTTACTGAATTGCAAGATGCACTTACTTCCATTATGTTACAATTTTATGCTTGCTACATTTTGATAAATAAACTTGGGTAGGTATTGTTATTTTTATTAAATTACAGTAGGTATTCAGATGAGGAAAATCTGTCCGACGGCCGTGAGTCAAGTCAGAACATTGACAAAAAATCTAAATTGATATTACCCTCAGCAGACATAATTTCCCCGCTTGCTGCGTCTGCTTCTCTTAAACAAATCGTGGTTTCATTCATTTGAATCTATGAATTCATACATAGGTATTTGCTACGAATTGTTTTCAAATAATATTTGTATTACTTTCAAACATACGTTTAAAAAATGTGTAGTAACAGATTATCAGTGGGATAAGATTATCAAATTCGTACAGTCTTAGTAACCAGTTTATAAAGTCGTCATCTTTTGAGATATTTCTGTCCAGAGATAAATGATAAAAGGGTATCAGTTGGACCTCCATAACATTGCAACGTGATGAATGACGTGTACAGTTTGTATCAGTATTTTATCCAATATCTACAAACAAATAGTATGAACAAAATATGATGGTATTTTTCCATGGATTTTGAGGCCATGTGTACCTACTTGCTTGTGGCAAATTGATTCAGTTTGTATTACTTTATTTAAGTGAGAAGATAGTTCTTTTGATACATTTATTGTTATCGGTCGAAGCTAAGTTAGGTTAGAAGATTAAAGATTTTAATGTTGTTGGATTGGACAGATTCTTAGTACCTAGAGCAGAAATATAAAATATTTGTTGTACCGACGATCGGTCAATTCCAATCCCAGCAAGACAAAGTAAATCCTACCTATCAGGCATTTATCTCGGAAAATTGTCATCTCTGAATTATCATACACAAATAAGTTGACCCACTCGAAACTAATGTGTATTCGGTAGTTATTGGAGAGGCCGAGATTATTTTTTGAAATGCTCCTTCATTCAAGTGCCTTCAACCGCTAATCTGGTGTTGTCATTAATTATTTTTATCGCTTATCTAACACTTTCGGCTCATTCTATATGTACTTGTGCATTGGATTGCTTGTAACGCCGATTCTATCTGGCGTTGATTGATTGGCTTTTTGAGAGTTTTAGTGGCTCATTACCATCGATGTTGTCCATTCAAATATCTATTGAAGTGGACTGCTTCGACCGTGTGAAAGTTTTAGTTGATTACCATAAAAGTAGGACCCCCACTTAGTACGTTTGCTACTTACTGATCTTGTAAATTCAATTTAATTACAATAGCACTAAGTAACTTTTACTATTGAAATAATTTATGAATGATAACAACGAGCATATCTCGACAAGTTAAACATTTTCCGATTCTAGTAACATTGAAGTAAATCCAAATCAATGTCAGCGGATATTGCAATGGATTCCAAAATAAATAAAATCTTATGAGTCTTAAATGGGGTTGTATACAGTTCACGCCCTGTGGGGTAATTTGGGGGTAGCTACCAGTGATTGTTTGGCATGAGGGGTGAGACGTGGAACGAATTTGTCACCAATAGATGGTGATGGGGCTGGGAGCCAGCTGTCGAGCTATCAATTACACCATGTTTGCGGCTGTTAGGGATGCTATTTGTTCTTTATTCGATGACAGTTATAGATTTTATTGTGTCGACTTCCATTTACAAAGGTAGCATGCAATATAAAAACGACTTTCCTGTTCCGCATGATTGATGAAATTTAAGGATTGACGCAATGGATTTTAATTTTGGTTTTTGTTGTATTATATTTGTTTGTTTTATAAATTTTGCAGTATATTTTTTCTTTAGTTAAATTTTGAATTTAAATTATTCAGGGTCTTATGACTTTTGAAAGCAATGTCGAATAAAGCGACTCGTAAGCTTATTGCAATGTCACAGAGTAACCCACTAAGTTGGGAGATAAAGAGAATCCGTGACTCGATACTTTTATTAAATTTCCTGGGTGCGCTTATGAAGGTAAGCAGGACGATCGTTGAACAAAAGCTGGCAGCTGGCAGGGGTGGGTGTGGCACCCTACACCCTGCTCCCCCTCTCTCCCGCGCGAACATCCCCGGTGTGCCGTTGTCCACCACGCCCAGCCGCGCTCCCGCCCGCCCGTATTATCATATCCGTGTGAAACAACTAAACGTTCGAGGGGTGAATACTGAACAATGTTGTATTTGCTGTGATTTTTTCACATCCCATTATTTGTTCGAACATGGCACACAGTTAGAGTTAAATAGAGCGTCACCCTCGAAAAGATTAAGTGGATCGGATGAGAGTGTTTGTAACAGGCGACCCAGTTTTATTAAATTATTTTATTGCTACTCGTTTAATAAACTCGTTAAAGCTGAGTTAAGCATAGGCAAACATGTAGAATAATATAATAAATTTCCTAGTTCATGCTCATTTAATAATTGACACTTAATTAATAAATATTTTCTTTTGTCTTAGGTGTTGTGGGTCAACAAGCGAGTCCAGATAGCACATCTCGTGCTTCGGAGCTTTCCTACGTGGGGCCACCAGCCTCTTCCCCGCCAGTGACGGACGTGCGTCACGAGCACGACCACGACCACGACGATGAACATGACATCGACCACGACGATGAGCACGACCACGAACCAACCGTGAACCCCGGCTCCGATAGCCTCGCACACAAGAAACGTAAACGACGAGTACTATTTTCGAAGGCACAAACTTACGAACTAGAGCGACGCTTCCGTCAGCAGAGGTATCTGTCAGCTCCCGAGAGGGAACATCTCGCTAGCTTGATACGGCTGACACCGACACAGGTGAAGATATGGTTCCAGAACCACAGGTACAAGACTAAGAGGGCTGTTCAGGAGAAGGGGGCTCACGACTTGAATGTAGGAGGTTTGAACTCTCCAAGGCGAGTAGCTGTACCGGTGCTGGTGAAGGATGGTAGGCCATGTGTTGGCAAACCTGACGGTCTGCCACCGTTGGGGATGTCACTACCACCGTACCACCAGTCCATGCATCACCAGCCGCCAGTCAGTAGCCACGCTCCCCAGGGCGGCGGCTGCTGGTGGTGAAATGTACCACTAATACAAACTGAGTGTTAAGTGATATACTAGTCCATGTGTCGCACTTTGCAAAATTCGGTTTTCATTGCAGTGTGTTCTTAACACGGTAACTTACAGCACCGTAATATATTTTACCTAATAAGTACAAAATGCATACTTGCAATTTCTTTGTTTCCACTTGGAAACACGCTTTACCTATTTTATTTTCTTCATCTTTAAGTGAGTTTCTTGCATTATAAGCAACAAAAGTTTTATATTCCTTTATTAACAATAGCTAAGTACACCGAATTTTACAAATGCGGCTTTAAAATTATGAGCAGATGTTTCGTAGTTGTCATTATGAAATTGATTGTTAAAAATATTGTTCAATTGAAATAGTAACTCGAATACGACGAAGTACATACATTCGTACTTAGATTGGAAATTTTAAGGTATCTGGAGTTCCTACTTATTTGTAATATAATTATGTCTAATGTTAATGAGTCAAGGGAAATTATCGGCTGCGATGTGTGAGCGCTCATAGTGTAGGAGCTCTTAACTTGACTTCGGCGCTCTTACTAAGCGCTCATTGTGATCATCATGCATTCCACTTTGATTGGAGTTTGTATATTTGTGTAAAAACCTGTGTCACGTTTAGCTAAGGAATTTTATTATATGAGAAATGACCAGATTTTATCAGAATGCAATATCTAGTTGTAAGTTTCAGTATTATCATAGTCGAATATGTCTAGTTGATAGCTATTTATGTATATTCAAATGAAAGTTTTATATTATCGTACGTGTACACGTATGGCTATAGAATTAGTTAATGGTAAATGTATATTGTGTATATACTTGTGTGGTTAGTTACCGAGAATATGAAGTATCCCCATGCGCTATAGAGACTATGTTATCTATGATGTTAGTAGAAGATAGTTATAAGAAATACATATTCACTACTATGTACTTAATACATATTCTAACATCCAAATTGAATTGTCACACAATGTTTAAGATTGTCCCTCCCATCATAGTTAGCCCGATATTGTAAAAATGTGTTATATATAAATTATTATCAAAATATGTATTAAAATAATTGAAAGAATTTTATCGATTTTCCTTTCATGCCCTCTTAAAGCAAAACCTACCTACGCTTCAGACCCATAGGGGACTATTTGAACGTGAAATTACTATTTGGAATAACTATTTATTCCAAATTAGTATGTTCAAGGCTTTCGAAATGCCTGTTGAACCAAAAACAGCAACAACTTAAGTTTCTTCAAGATTTAAAATCACAATAACTTGCAATACTTATGTAATACTATCTAGTTTTGATATTAAGAAAGAGAAGAAGACGGGTGACATACATAAGCTACTCCATCCTCTCTGTGTCACAAGGGCCAGCACGCCCTGTGAAAGAAGAGTATGAGTCCGTTGCAGATGTCGAAATATTACTACATACTTACATTAATTGGCGTGGAAAAGGGTACTTCATTCTTTGACATTTCCTCCTGCCTAGGTGAGGCGGAAGGGAGTGTCAGACTCTTACTGACTAAAAACCACCCCGGTCCTACTCCTGCACTTCGAGCCGGAGCCCCGGTAACCCGTTAGGTTCTATTCTTTGACACCAGTCTTGTTATTTACGTACTATATTGGCAAACAGAGGATGTTCCAATCAAATAGTTCAAGTAACGTAACGAGCAAATAGTGCGGACGGCTAGTCGCAGTGTGACCGATCTTTGTTTACATTCACAATATTTACCGATCCCGTCCGTTTATCTAATCGCCGGCTGCCAACCGCGATAGCTTGCGACCCGATTACTGAAATACCTGTGCCTGTAGTCTTTCTATTCACCTGTTCTATTTATTTCTCTATTTCTAGTTTAATGTAGTATTTAAAAAGTTATGTTAGTTATTGTACACCAAAACTAATTAAAACTCTAAAACGGTAATATTCACCATCATTAGCCATATCGCAGAATAAGTTACCAAAAATTTAAACAATGCTCCTGCTCAGAGGAGATGCTCCTGGCATTTCACTCTAAGAGTAGAGTTGGTGATTGCAGTTCTACAATTCTATCTATCTGACTATCTTAACGGATTTTTTTACACTCTTACTTTAAATGTTCAATTGTTTAACATTATTCCTCAGATGATGAAAGGTCTGTACAAGGATAAAATACTTATTTACGGTAACTCATAACGTTGTCTTTAAATTTGCGTTTTTTCATTTGCATATGATAGTTTACAATTCTCTACTCAAAATGTGGTATAATTGATAATATTTTTTTGTTTTTTTTTTGGTTATCTTTTTTTTGAGTATGTACTTATATGGCAATATATCCAAGAGTCGTGAGATCTTAACATAACGACCAGATTAAACATAAGTATTTCTAAACATGTCTTACACAATGACGTTGAAATTTTAAGCAGCCAATCGGGCACTGCGGTGTTATAAAGACTTGATTATGGATGTGTGAATATCTCCGACTTACAGAACTGAGAATGAATCGAACCTCTATGGCATTGATAGAAAACATTTCAACAAAGAGGTGTAACCGTTTATTAAATAAATAATAACAGAATACAAAGGAGTGAAGTCGTCGGTAGCTCAACAATGGCAAACAAACTGAGAATTATTTTCAATAAATTCTCGAAACGCCTTCGATTCTGTCGCAGTAAAAGGGCCCAATAGACGCGTTTGATTGTTGAAGCGAAGGATAAGCCGATTAGTTTAATACAAACATGAAGAAATACAGGCTTTCGGGTGCCACAACCGAACTGACAGATTGTCAGTTTGTTATTATAAACGGGTCGTGTGGGCCAATTGCAATCTTTGGATTGTTAACGCGTGATTGAAATAGCAGAATCCTTAAACCGACAATGTCAAAGGAAATTGTTTGGGGGCTCGATAATTAGGGATGTAATAGACGTTTAAGAAGTCATGCGCTGCACACCTTTTTGGTTGATTCTTTCAAACTTTTGTAAAATGATATATAATCAGCCCTAGTCTAGATACAGCAAAGGTCGAATGTGGTTTGAAATTACCATTTGATTTTGATAACAAAATAAGTAAACTTATATCAATACTTTACAAGGGTGGCTCCTGCACACCAACAGTAACTTATCTTTATCCCATTCATTGACACTTTGGTAAGCACGATATGACCTAATAAGTGCTCCATATTTATGATTTAGCGTTTTATAGCCGCTTGGACAAAACATCTAAACTTGCAATCTTCCAACACCATCATATTGGATTATATCCCATTGAGATAAAACTCAATTTCCCTTGACAATAAACCATAGTGATAGTGCAAGGTTTGTTCCCAATGACGGCGGGATGTATTGATTTTGTTATTAAAGCTCGCGGGACTTTTGTCCTTGCGTGTGTTTGTTAAGGTACATTTTGGATTGTTAGGGGTATATTTGAAACAGTAATATGAAATACAATATTGTCGGTGTAAGCGTAATATCGTTATGATGGACGAGCGGTGGGTCGGTCAGCGCGCAGTCGACTTGAAATAGATAACGTGGTCACATCAACTATGCACCTGGGTTGTAAGAGAGGAGCATGGCTTTGTAGAAGCATATTGAAACACTATGTAAAGGGTATCTAAATAAGACAAACATCAACTCGTAAATAATTATAGCGTGTTTATTATTTGCATTCAACGGAAAATTATACACAGGAAAATGTTTAATGTGTGTAAGTTCACAAATACATATGTAGTAAAGTTATAGTTAGATAATAAAAAAAATGTCATTCATAATGTAAATTATACATACCTAATACGATTAGAACAGTATTAAATTAAGTAAACGAGAGAATTAAATTAATACACACTTTAAAAGTATGTCCACCCTTTAGTTATGTTAATGAAATCAAAATGAATAGTCACCACCAAATCCAAACGCACCCTTGTCACGTGTTCGCAAGTTATTCCAACAAAATATACTTCCTAATCTGATCTGATAGTAAATCACAGTCATCAAATATGTTAGTAGGATCTGAAGAACATCGTTAGAGCTTAGCTGACACGCGCTTGAGCCATTTTGCGGCTAACCCGGAGCCGCGCACCCTCGCCGGCTCGATTTACTGCCATTCTCTAATAAACACGTTATGCTGTATACCTAACGAATATTAATAACTGACTTCCTGGAGCGCCCGATGATTTCCATTTTTGTTATTGCCTGTCGTCACGTCGTTAGCGCTTTTATACGGATTAGCAATATCAACGTTTAAACCTCAAAGAAAATACCGAGAAAAGCTATTAATATAAATGACTACCCTATAACTCATTACAACTGCGCTTCCCATTGGAAAAACGATTATGAGTTTTTACAGTAATTTTCTTATGTCTGTTTTACGAACCAAGTTACGTTTTGTAGCGTAATAATTCTCCTAGTATCCACCACTCGCAAAAATGTTTTAGTTTTCGTATATGTATCGCAACAGCAATTTTTCACGTGCCAGCTACAACGCACAGACATAAAGGTTTACGACAGGCCGTCATATTTATGGCGCTGGTATTGTGATATATTTTTTGTTGTGCGCATTAGGTTTTATCTGACTTTCCGCTAAATCAAGTAGCTACTGGCCGGTGTCAGGAAATACCCTCGCATATATCATCCCCGGCGGATGCGAGCGTTTTGGGGTTACGTCTCGATTCCGCAGGGCGAGTTCCTAATCATTTGTCTTATAGATTGCAATATCGGCCAATTTTATTATTTAGTAATTTATTTATTTATAGAGCCACTGACTCTTTTCCTGTTTCTCTTTATACAACATTAATAAACAGTCAATGTCAATTTTGGAAATTAGTGATCCCGCCCTCATATTTAAAAACAAAGGCTTTAAGGCTTTAAGATTTTTAAATTCATTCATAAAGAACGTATTATTTATGTTTATTTATCCCTCCCATTGTGTTCTACAACTGACAAAACACTAATGCTAAAGTTAGCGATACGTCCCTGACAGTATCCCGCTGTGAAGACGGTTATCCTCATTCGTTCACAAAGGCACCACA